AGGAAGGCCTGGCGCAATATGGTTCATGGGGTCATGAAGAGTTGGACACAACTTAACGACTAAACACCAACAAGAGCTGATCATTGCATAAATAGAAGAGCACATTTTTCTTTCTTTAAATCCCCAGTTTTGGTAGCCTAGAAATATTTTGCAAAGCACCAGCAGATACTTGGCTGGCAGTGTCTCTTCACGTTAAGACTCATTGCACTATGAATGTGTGTCTGTACCAATAGAGTTGATTTTATTCATTGTCTGTATGACTTTTAGTCCTGCATCATGATTTAGTTAATAGTTTCTATTACTAAGAATCATCTATCTTAGATGACTGAGATTAAAGGCAAATTCCCCAAGGGACCATCACCTTTTTAGAATTTGGAGATAAATAAAAGCTGAAAAAAATCTACTTGAGACTCAAACAGTTAAAAATACATCCTATTGTACAGAACAGCAGTCAAAAAGGAATTTGATGTGTTTTGATAGTTTACAAATTGGAGAATAGATCCTGTGGAGTTTACAAAAATGAGTAAAGAGGAGAGTTTATTGACAGGGGATCTTATTCACCCATTAACTTCTCATAAGCATATTCATATCTGGCTCTTTCTAGCTATTCTAAATATGTTGTATCCTGTTTAGAAATGGGAGAAATAGATGTTTGGGGGAACAAAATATTATAAGTGGAAAGTTACCTTTTAAAAGAGGTATTGTTTTATAAGAGTCACCATCCCAGATGACTCAAATGTTCAGGGAAGGCAGCTCTCAGCTTTCCTGATCAGCATGTCCCCAGTATTTTTAGAATTTATGTTACTGAGAAGTAAGTTCCATTGCATATTGCAAGACTTTTCATTCAGGTAAACAAGAGATGAATGGCTTTTCAGATGAATACGATTTCTATCATGTTGGTTATATTAATTGGTTCTTATAAGACATAGTTTCTAGAGTTAAAATTCATGAAGAATCATGACAGATTTAATGTTGAATCACTATCATCTTTAGCCATTCCCATCAGGAGTAATGTGCTGGTTCTGTAATGCATCTTTATCAGTAGAAGACAAAGTATGACACAAGGAAGTTCATTTTTTAAAAAAAATATATTAAAGGACAATATTCTCTTCATGGCATTTTGTAAGCAGAGTCATAGTTCTTGGAGATGGATAGGATAGAACTGAATGAGTTCCTTATCCCCCAAGCTTTGTGTTATATCCATTTTTTTTTCTTTCCAGTGAATGTAACAGCAACAGGGATTCAGTCCTTTCCTATACCAGTGTCCGGAGTAACAGCTCTTACTTAGGCAGTGATGAAATGGGATCAGGTGAGTAAATGCTGTACAGAAGTATTTAACAATGGTTAGACCATACACCATCCTAGAATATTCCAGATGTGTGCAATGATAACTTTAATCATTCCTGGATGGCAGATTCAATGGTAAAAAAGTAAAAAATTAAATGAATGCAATGTGATAGGATATAGGCTGCCAAGTAAATTCTCTATAGGTGTATTAGCACCCATAGGGCCCATGTTGAGGATCTATAGCTTTCTATAATTTTCATGTATTTTATTCCTCAAAATGACAGGAACAATGTCAGCAGTTTCCAGGAGTCTTGCCACTTAAATTTGGCACATAGTAACGTATCCAGAGATTGTGGAAAGGAGATTCAGCAGTCCTATCTACTACAGGTGCTTTAACTAACTACAGGATATCTGATGAAATCTCCCTGAGCTCATGTAATTTGTTCCAAAAACATTTTAGAATTGGGCAAAATTATGTTTCCAATAAATGCATTTTTTTTGCTTTTTAATAAAAAGTCTTCTGTAAATGAATCTAATAGACTTGCTTTGTCAGGAAGAGATCATGTCTAAGAACTCAGTGGAGGTTGGGGAATTCAAAAAAGCAAGGTAGAAATTGATGGGTAGATGGAAGTATGAAGGGAAATGAATGAGGAGCAAAAAAAAAAAAAAACATAGCATGGGGGATGAAAGAGAAGAAAAACGGTGTAAGCAAAACTAAAGATAGGTGTGTGCTTATGAAGTTCTGCATGGGAATAAAGACCAAAGTTTGTTTATTTCGTTTTAGGTGATGAACTTCCCAGTGATATGAGAATACCATCAGACAAACAAGACAAGCTTCATGGCTGCCTTGAGCATCTTTTTAACCAGGTAAAAAGATTTTACCTTTTTATACGTACCAATGAGGACATCTCTGGAGCTGTCCTCTGTGCTGTTGTACAATGAGTGGAGTGGAGGTTACATTAAAAGATTCTGATGGAGTTTTAGCTTAGATATTCTGTCATTTAAGCCACCAAGCATTATCTAATTCTGCATATGGCCTGTAATATCAGTTAGCATACCTCTGGAATCTCATAGTCATGGCATGAAAACAATGTTTTCTGCTAATGTTTGTCTTCAGAACTTGGTCTTCAGGGAAATACTTCCTTTAATTTATGTACGCATTATTGAACTACTGTGGCCAATAACCATGGCAACCTTGCTCAACATTTTTAAAGTCAGTTAAATCAGCCATGTTCCACTTGCTAATTTTTGCCAGCCATAAAGTTCTAGGAAAGTAAGATCTAAGCTAAAAATATATCAGGCAACAATTAAGTGGGATACTAGTCTGATTCTTCCTGGAACTCAACAAGGTCATAATCTAGAGCTTTTTCTTATGTTCCTCTTTTTTCTATTTAAGAGGAGACAAGGCCTCAGTCTACAGAAGAGATGCTGTGTCTCAGTTTCTGGGCTTGATCATGGGCCTTTCATCACTTCTAGAGTTGATGGAAGATCAAGAGTGTGATGGTAGTCAATTAGACAGTGCCTTGTTGGAGTGGCTTGCAGAAATTGAACTGTAAAATTGGGTTCCTCCTATGAAAGTCAATTTTATAGTAAATTACTAATATCCCTTGTTTGTGTAATGCAATATTTATGCATGATTGACTGTTTATTTACTAAATTGAATGATTGGTGTTAATAGAATTTTTAATCTTTTTCCTTTAGGTATTAACTGAAATAGTAATAATTTATTCTATATTAGTAATTGATAAGATTATTGATTGATTATTGTTGGAGTATGACTATTTTGTTTTGCTTTATTTTGATTTTTTTTTAATGCTATAGTTGGCTGCTTTGGGGGTTTTCAGGAAAGAAAAATGGAATACAAACTTTGAACTGAGCTGAAATCACATCTTGTATCTTAGAATTTAATAAATTAATCATGTAGGACATGCAGCAATGTTCATCTCGCTCTAAATTAATAGTTCTTGGCTTGCCTTTGGGGGTATATATAGACAGTTAATAACTATCAGTTTTTACTAGTGCTTCACACTGTGTTGTTATCCCAGTCCTCATTAATAATGGCTTTGCTAGAAGCAACATTCCTGCTACTGTCTCCTCATTTTCAGACCAGCAACTCAGTAATGTTTATCTGCTCCAGGTTGCTTTTCAACCAAAGTGCAATAGATAAAATGTAATGACTATTTTTTTCTGCAAATAACATTTTATCTCCAGAAGGGCCAGAAGAATGTTAAAGACTGAGTAAATATGCTTCTTTGCAGGTGGATGCTATCAATGTCCTTCTCAAAGGACCAGTAATAAGCAAAGCTTTTGAAGAAACCAAACATTTCCCAATAGATCACACTTTGCAAGGTAATCAAGGAAATTGGTGTTTCTTAGTGTGTAATAGCATGATATAATTTCTTCATTCTCCATCAGTTGTTAAAAGACTGAGAGAATTTCTTGGATGTATTGTATTCCTTTCTCTCTCTCTCTCTCCCTCTTTTTCTCTCTCTTTCTCTCTCTTGCTTTCCTCTCCTTCTGTATACAAGTTTCACTCAGTCATTTTCAGAGCTATCCATGTTATGAGCATGATATAATTTCTTCATTCTCCATCAGTTGTTAAAAGACTGAGAGAATTTCTTGGATGTATTGTATTCCTTTCTCTCTCTCTCTCTCCCTCTTTTTCTCTCTCTTTCTCTCTCTTGCTTTCCTCTCCTTCTGTATACAAGTTTCACTCAGTCATTTTCAGAGCTATCCATGTTATGTCCATGCTGAGAAAGCAGGGGCAACACAGTACCCATTCCTCAGTTGAGCATGCCATTTACAAATGGCAAATTGCAATGTTTATTTATTTCGTTTTGCTTCAGAGATTGCTTTTCAGAAGCATTCCCTCAGCCATATGTTCTTTACATATATTTTAAAGCTTTTGATTCTCTGGAACTACAATTGATTTATGGTTCTTTCACCTAACTCTGGGGAGCATTCAGTTCTTGTTTAGTAATGGTGTACCTATTTCTCTGGAAATTTTACATGAAGGGTACAGCTTTATTGCACAATCACCACAAATAAAGGAAAACAATTTTTTGGACAACCTCTCCAACATTTGGAAGAATAATTGGAAGTTCTGTCCATGATAACTGTGGTTTGGCCTTCATCTGCTGGGAGGATGGTCCTTCTTTAGGTTTTCAAGGGCTGCTCTGTCCTCTGCTTTGAGTTTGTTCTGCTTCTGTGTTCTTCTGGTCTGTGGTATGATTGTCTGCCTTATGTTTTCCATTATAACCATGGTTATCATGGACAGAACACAATATATACAAAAATCCAAAGAATTACTGGAGGACAAAGAAACCTACATCCCAGTAAACATCAATCCAATACAGAAACAGGACAACCTGTTCAAGAGAATCCTCAACGACCTACCCAAGAAAGGTCAAATCACAGAAGGAGAACTGCGGCAGATGAAAAGCAGCAGACCCATCTTCTCACACTTCTATGGACACCCAAAAATACACAAGCCAAACATTCTTAGTCCAATTGTATCATTATGAGGGACCCCAACTTACAAATAGCCAAAGAACTTACAAAAAAACTTGGACATCTCACAGAGGGGAGCAAATATTCTATCAACTCCCCACTACAGTGCCAAGCCAAACATTCTTAGTCCAATTGTATCATTATGAGGGACCCCAACTTACAAATAGCCAAAGAACTTACAAAAAAACTTGGACATCTCACAGAGGGGAGCAAATATTCTATCAACTCCCCACTACAGTGCCTTCAAAAAATCAAAGACCTCAAAATAGAAGAAGATGAAATTACGTTTTCATTCGATGTCACAACACTCTTTACGTCCACAGATCCTGAACTAGCAAAAGAATCCATGTCACCAATACTACACAACACACTCAACCTAGCCAAATACACTAAGATTGAAATACCCAGAATCATGGACCTCATCAACCTCTGCCTCACTACCTACTTTCAGTTTGATGGACAGATATACCAACAAATCAGAGGAACACCCATGGGACCACCAGTCTCAGGATTCATAGCAGAGACCATAATGCAGCATCTAGAAACTATAGCACTCCCGCACATACAACCAAAAGTATGTATCCAGTATGCAGACAACACCTTCATCATAATAAAAAAGGAACAACTAGAGAAGACGTGTGAAACAACAACATCTTCAAAGGAATAAAATTCACAAGGGGAGAAGAAAAAAAATAACACACTATCCTTCCTGGATATCCTCATCAGCAGAGGAAACAACAGCAAATTAGAAAGGCAAGCCTATCAAAAACAACCCACCCTAACCAAGTGCTCCATTACCAATGTAACAACCCAATCTCCCACAAGAGGAGCTGTGTAAGAGCATTATTCAGACGAGTACAAACACACTGCAGCAACCCAGAACACCCAAAATAGGAAATAGACTGCCTATACGATATCTTCCAACAAAATGGATATCCATGCAACTTTATCAAAAAGTGCCTGACTACTCAATCCAGTACAGCACAACCAATACAAGCTATGAAAAGGATAACACTACCATACATCAAAAACATCTCAGAAACAACCAACAGACTATTACAACCACAAGGCATTACTGTAGCACACAAACCAACTAAAGCTCTCCAAAACATCTTAAGTAAGCCAAAAGACCCTGTAGCCCAAGAAGAAAAAACACAGTCATCCAAAACATACAGTGTAAGGACTGTAACAGCCACTACGTAGGACAGACAGGCAGAAGACTAGCAGAGCACATCCATAAACACCAACTAGCAGTCAGAAGACAAGGTGAAAACTCCTTAATCTCACAACACATGAACAGATTCAACCATAGTTTCAACTGGGAAACTGTGAGCATCCTAGGCCAAGCTACATCTAAAAACTCTAGGGAATTCCTGGAAGCTTGGCATTCAGACAAATCAGCTATCAATAAACACAAAGAAATAAACCATATTTACACACCATTCAAAAGAGACAATAAAAAAGCTAAGAAGGAAACAAAAAGAAAGAAATAAACCATATTTACACACCATTCAAAAGAGACAATAAAAAAGCTAAGAAGGAAACAAAAAGACTGGAACACATCCTCTCCAGCAACCAACTGGAGATAAACAGGGATTAACACCAGGCAAACTATCAAGCAAACAGAAAACAATACCATAATCAAGGAACTACCAAGGAGAAAACCACACCCCCATCAAAACTGGCAGGGCGTATAAACGGAGCAAACCCCACACTCACTCGCACTGATGATGTTACCTAGTTGGGTAATGAAACATCTGCAATCAAACAACCAAGCTCAGAGAGCACAAAGACTCCACAGTTCAACCCTGAGCTACATACTGTATATTCTCTTCTATTGGAAGCTTTTGTTTTCATACAAAAAAATTGAGAATAAATAAAAGGATATTATATAGACCTCAGAAACAGGGAAGCTGGGGCATACCCAATTTCACCATATATTATCAAGCAGCACAGTTAGGGCATCTGATTCCATTCATTATGGCAGACTCTTCTAAACAATGGATCCAAATTGAAACTATATTGGAACTAAATAATTTTATAAATCAATGGTTCTTTCACCCAAAACATTTTTACAGACTAAAAGATTTTTATAAAACAGGGAACCTCTCAATAAAGATCAGATAGAGTAAAGAATAGGTGATAAGTTACCATGGTTCTTCTGGTATCCACTCACATCTCTTGTGGGCAACACAGAATAAATAAGATTGAAAATGTGTTCGTTAAAATTATGCTTCAAATTTGGAAGAGTAAATACATAGCTTTGATAAAGGATACTTCTCCTTTAATTCCTTTAATAACATATATACATCAGGATAATCACTGTGGTCTAGCTAAAATGAAACTTTTGAGATAATGCAGTCTTTACAGACTAAAAGATTTTTATAAAAAGGGAACCTCTCAATAAAGATCAGATAGAGTAAGGAATAGGTGATAAGTTACCATAGTTCTTCTGGTATCAACTCACATCTCTTTTGGGCAATGTTAGAGCTTCAGCAACTTTACCTTATATCAATTTTGAGAATTTAATACTTAACTACTTAGAACAATCAAAAGGAACAATCACAAGAATTATAGATTATTATTGCAATTAGAAATAGGAGATCCACTCCATAATTTAAAGGAAGCTTAAATCCAGACAAGAGACAATTTGGCAGGAATTGTGGAAATTGAGTGGATTCACATCAGATTCAGTGCAAGAACTGCAGTGGAAATGTATACATTGCTGGCATTTGACTCCAGTTAGATTGGCATCTCTCTCTCTCTCTCTCTCTCTCTCTCTCTCTCTTTCTTTCTTTCTGTCTCTCTTATCTATCAGAATTATTCTTTCAAATGTTGTCCAAAAAAAGGTCTTTTTTTCATTTGTGGTAGTCATGCAGTAAAGCTGTATCCTTTGACGTAAAATTTCTGGGGAGATAGGTACCATTACTAAACAAGAATAGAGTGCTTCCCAGAGTTAGGTGAAAGAACCATAAATCAATTTATTTGATTTATGCATTTACTTAGAGGACCAAATCTCAAGCTTAAAAATAAGGAACTTATTATTTACAGCTAGTCCTTGCTTAACAACCACAATTGGGACTGGGATTTAGGTCGATAAGTGATGCAGTCCTTAAGTGAATCATCATGTGACCAGGCCCAGTTTTACAACCTTTTTTGCAGCAGTGATTAAGCTAATCACCGTGGTCACTAAGTGAATCATGTGACCATTAAGCAAATCACACGGTGGTTAAGTGAATCGTGTTGTTCCCCATTGATTTTGCTTGCCAGAAGCCAGCTGGGAAGGTCGCATATGGCGGTCACGTGACCCCAGGATGCTGCAAGTGTCGTAAGTGCCAGCTGGTTGCCAAGCACCCACATCATGATCATGTGACCGCAGGGGGTGCTGCAATGGTCATAACTTCGGGCACTGGTTGTAAGTCACTTTTTGTAGCACCAGCGTAACTTCGAACATCGCTGAATAAATGGTCATTAATCAAGGACGACCTGTGTTTAATTTTAGCAGCTAAAATAATAATTGCTCAGCATTGGAAAACTCTAGATAATGTAACAACAGAGACATGGATTAGAAAGCCTTTTCAATGGTTATATTAGAAAGAAATCAAAAAGTTAAAATAATGAAACATCAGAGGCAGGAACCCCAGTTCAATCAAATTCGGTTGGATTTTATGGTTCATCTCAATAGTAATAGACTTTAATATGGTAATAATTATGGTAAATTTGTATGTGTATAGACCCTCTCTCTTTACTGAGTTTATAGTATTTTTTAGTATTTTCTATATCTTTTTTCTTTATGCATCTTGGATTTATGTTATTTAATTACTTGATAATGTTTGTTACACATGGTTCAATAAAAATATCTCATCACAACTAATTTAGTGATATTTTCCTTTACAAAGAAATAAGCTTAGCAGAGATTAGCACAAGATGTAATTAGCTGCTGTTTTGTACCACTTTGGTATTCTTTCATTGTCAGAACTAAAATCTTTTCTTGTTCTGCAGAATTTAAGCAGAAAGAAGAAACCACTATTCGGAGCAGGAACAAGATTCAGATCAGCATACAGGAAGATCCCTGGAACCTCCCATTTCGCATTAAAAATCTTGTTGATACGATTCAAAAATATGTGGAAGGTTTGTGAATGGGAAGCTGGAAAAGAGCTGTTAAAAATGTCCATATTATAAAGAAAGTAGTAGAGAGGGTTGAGATCAGGAGTAGAGTAACTGAATAAATAATGGAAAATTGCTATAAAGATCTTCCCAAGTGGAAAGTGGTGGTAGATTGGAGCTTAGAAACAGAAAACATAGGAAGCTGCTGTAATCTGTCTCAATATTATCTTATTCCACTGCTGTGGGAATTAATTTTAGTATTTTTGTTTGTTATGCACTTATATCTAAGCAAAGTACAAAACCACAGTACAAAACCATAGTATCATCTCTGTGAGGTAGGTTGAGCTGAGAGAGAGCAACTGGCCTAAAGTCACTCAGTGAGCTTCTGTGGCTGATGAAGGACTAAAACTAGGTTTCTCTACTCCTCATCCAACACCTGTTCTATCTGAAAATGCCTTGGGATTAAATATGGAATTTGCTGATTCCAAGAATGGATTCTACCACAAAGTTATGGCCCTTCATCTGTAAATTTAATGGATTCTGGTGGATCAGTGTTTGCAGTCTCTAGATACTGATGATTTATGGTTTCCAGGACTTTCATTATGGGCCATGTTGGTGGGTACTGCTAGGAATTATAGTTAAGCAACACCTGGAGGCTTGAGTTATAGGTTGCAATTTCCCTATACCTGATTACAAGGTTCACTTTTCAAGTCTGCTTCAGCCCAAGCATCTATTACTCATACTAAGCATGCATTGTCATTAAGGAAGATATGATTAAATTCTAGTTTTTATTTAAGTTTATTTTTATTTCTAGATGGAAAGAATCAGCTCCTGTTGGCTTTGCTGAAATGCACAGGTAAAGCAGCTCCTTGATTTTATGCCCATTGCAGCTGACCTCCTGAGCAGTGTTAAGAGCAGACATGCAGTTTGAAGAACATTTTCATTCCATTTCAGGGAAAAAAAGTATTAAACGATTATTTTCAGGATTAGGGTGAAATTGGACACCTCTGTTCATCCTAATCTTCTCGCTAGTCTTGTGAAAATCTCTGTATTCCTCGGGGCGGGGGGAGATAAACTTTTTGGCATATATCAACATCGTCATCTGGGCTGCCATGAATCATCTTCCATAAGATCCTTGAATAAGAAAAGCCAGAACCACAATTAGAACACCAAGCCCAGGCAACACAGGCAGTAGCTCTAGCCTGTTGATCCCAGTTCTTGCCTCTCTTTCCTTTCCCAGATACAGAACTGCAAGTGAGACGAGATGTAATTTTCTGTCAAGCCCTGGTGGCAGCCATTTGCACATTCTCAGAACAGTTATTGGGAGCGCTCAACTATAGATATAACAACAACGGAGAGTATGAAGAAAGCAGTCGGGAAGCCAGTAAGAAATGGCTGGAGCAGATAGCAGCCACAGGAGTGTTGCTCAACTACCAGTCCTTGCTGTCTCCCAGTGTGGTAAGGCTAGAATACCATTTCCTCAAACTTAGAAAACTAAAATAAGGAACTGCGCAGTTCTGTCATTACTCATCTTCTGACCTAAATATATTTGCAAAGGCTTGGGAAATGAAACTGCTTTTGTTTGCAGTGTTGCACAATTTGCATTGAAAATAACAATTCAAGCCCCATTCACACCTCCACATACTGGTTTCTGGTGCAGCTGGGATATAAGTGCAAAGATCTCAACCTAGTGGGTGGGGCCCATTGGATGCGTATCACCCTTTGACCCATGGCGAACAATGCAGCTAAACTTTAGGTTTTCATACATGTGCCATAGGAGAAGCTATTTTTGGCAAGGGTGTGAAGGGATCCAAGAGATCTATATATGTATGTGTTGTCTTAATATGTACAAGAAGAGAGTAACTGGGTTTGCATGTTGTGTAGAACCCTGTCTGGCAGAGTGTTATAGCTACAAAATTGTACCTTTAATAATTAAGAGAAAGTTAGCTTTGCATGCAAGAAGAAAATCTGTCAGGGAAGATATTTCCAATTGCTAGTGGCAGTCTTTGCAGACCATACTGAATAAACAGACCAATAGTTTGATTCATCATACAGTAGAGCAAATTCATCTGTTTGGACTTTTCTCTCCTGTAAGTGACAAGCTGTACCTGTCCAGATTCAGTCTTCTATGCAGCTGTCTTAAAGCATTTTATCTTGGCTTCTCACTCAAAAGGCAAAAGCAAGAAAAGTGGATGTACATTCTTAAAAAAATTAAAGTTAGCTACATTGTAGCAAGATTAGTGCTATACAGAGTATTAGCTGTAAATGATAGCTAATTGTATGAAGTGTTCTGTCCTCTGCTGGTGAGAAACCGCATCTTGCATTGCACTGAATGTGTCTGCAACATGAAAATGTACCAAATATATAAGGGCATTTTTTGTCATATTCATTTGAGTCTCAAGTTCTTATTGCTCACAGATTTTTAATCATCATCATCATATTTATTTCAGTCATTGACCAATAAAAATAGATACAATAAAACAGACAACAATATTACCCCTTTCATCAATAAAGTTTTTTAATCTATTTTACAATCACCCATAGGAGAAAGATATGAGACATGTGGTAGAGCAGGGTTCCTCAACCTTGACAACTTTAAGATAGGTGGATTTCAACTCCCAGAATTCTTTAAGGCTGGCTGAGGAATTCTGGGAGTTGAAGTCCACCTGTCTTAAAGTTGCCAAGGTTGAGGAACACTGTGGTAGAGAATGTATGTTAAAGATGCAGGCTTACATTTTTAAAAAATGCCCTTCAGAGAATGAAGGGTTCAGACATGGTCTTAGTCACAGTCACAACCAGCCTTTGGTACCTGGATTTGGAGAAGGCATCTATGATCCTTTTTATAGTTCCAGTTATTATGAAGAGAAGGTTTTATGGTCAGATATCTGCCCCTTCTTGAAATCTATTCACCTTTTTGTCATATATCTTTCTCCCTTAGAAAGAAGAGCGAACTATGCTGGAAGATATTCAGGCCACCTTGTCAGAGCTGGACAAGGTTGCCTTTTGTTTCAAGCAGCTGGATGAGTGTTTTGTAGCAAGTGAGTCTAGACACTGTCTCCTTTGGCTTTCTAATTTTTCCTATGACTTTGTGTTTGTTCAACCAGTAAAATAATGCATTTTATTGCCTAAATTCACACAGACTGGAATTTCAATAGAAGCTGCAAAACCTCTTATTTTCTAAGATGTACCTTAATCCAACAGAAGTTTCATACCCCTAATTAAGAGCAGTATCAAGGAATAATGAAAAAGATTAACTACAAGCGGGTTCATTCTTGTAGTTTCCTCATGTTGGTTATTTTGTGTTACTGTTTCCCCCAAATTTGTGATATCTTTCTCCTTGTTTCCTCCAGATACTCATGTCTTTTATCATGTTGAGGGAAATCGGCAAGTTTTGAAGGTGACCTTATTCCTGGATAGTTACTACTTTTCCAAACTACCTTCCCGATTTCAGAATGGAGGAAGTCTGAAACTGCATGCAGTGCTCTTTACAAAAGGTACAGGTGAAATCCTTTTCTTTCATTCATTTATTTATATTAATCCTTAATATAGTTGAACTGAAATCTTGATGAAGGCCAAATTAATGGAAGTTAAATAGACAAATAAATAATTTCAAAACTTTAAGCCTAATCAAGACAGATAGAAAGTAGGCATTAGAAAGTATTTTCCACAAATTTAATGGGATGAATGTTTGTCTAGTCAGCTATTTGAAATTTACATCATGATAGTAGACTCATCTTTAATACATAGGTGCAAAATCTGCAATCTGTAGATTGCATATAACCCTCAACACTCATTTGGAAGTGTTGGAATAGGCAGGATAATTTTTTGCAGCCATTTTTAACCTTAAACTCCTTGAACTCTCCCACCAAATGGCCAACCTTTCTTCTTTTGAAGGTGTGCTCTTTTGTGAGGCTTAAGGTACTCATTTCATTTGTTAATACACACACACATACACACACACCCCAGTTTTTCTTAAACCCTCAGAATTGACTGAAAAATGTGGGTGTACTCTCTATCTTCAAAGGAGCAAGAAAGAGGTGCACCATCTATTTATTTCTAATGTTTGTTAGTTAGTTAGTTAGTTAGTTAGTTAGTTAATTTATTTATTTTGATTTCAGCATAAGCTAGAAGACCTTACTTCCAGAAGGGCAGGATATATAGGGAGAAGGATGATAATTTGTTTCCAAAATTCAGTGTGTTTTTGTACCCTTTCGCCAAGACATTACTTCATCACCATCACCCACAGATGCCTGGTAGATCCACAATAACATCATGTCCATCATGGTATCATTATGCAAAGAATACAAGTTACATAACTGCGTACTGTTACATAACTTGCATCAAGATATAAATAACAGCACGCAATTTATATCATTGATGATGTTATGACAAATATGAAGTCATTTCATACTTGTCATAACATCATCATGTTGATATAAACAGCACACAATTTATATCATTGATGTTGTT